TGAACTAAATCTGTTCGACCAACGATTTTGCATATCGTTCTCTTCATCTACGAATCGGGTGGTCTTGCATGAATCTTCTTCAGACAGATGGCTCTAAGTCTTCTTGAAAGAGCCTATGAGAGGCTTGCGGGTTGTTCGGCATGCTGTAGACGAACTTCTTCGATTCTGGCGATTTTTACGATCGGTTCACAGGTGCCCATTACTTGCCCTTCCTTAATATCCACCCTGTTATTATTAGGGTTGATTATTCTTACTGAAATTGTCTTATTGTTACCATTTACGACAGATCTGGCCACAAAAATACCTGCTTCGGATTCGTTGGATAACTATATCAAATGCTGTGCCCAAGCCGCCAGGTCCAGCAATTTCGGCTTGATTGATTTTCTCGATGTTAGAAGACTGTTCATGTTCAGCATACCGCTTTGAGAAATTTCGACAACATTATCCCACCTGTACATAAACACTATTTTACTCCGGACACTCAAGATTCTAAACTCCAGGTTTCTCCATCATGTCCACTTTATCTTTGATATTAAAAAAAAATAGATTGGATTTAGTCTTAGCTGCAGCTTGCAATTCTTATTCAATTCTCTTAGAGACAATAACATCAAGTTCCTTGATTGTAACTTATAATTACGCCACTCTTCGTTAACTAAACTTCTGTACATTTTGTCTTTTCATATTTGTAAAAGATTTTTTAAAACTTTAAACAATTTTTGATATAACTTGGATTTGTCTATTTGAAACGACATCTCAATTAGTCAATTCAACTTTGGCGAAAGTGGATCAACGATAACATAAACATTTAAGTGCTTTGCTCTGCTTACAATACGTCAAATGGATCAATCGTATGGAAACGAAACAATAGATTGACGGAAGAAACTTGGACAAGTGAACAGCACGCGGTAGTTAATTCCCCTACTCGGTTCAAAGCGAGTTCCTAAACGTAAACATTATTTGTGGGAATCTTCACAAATCCTTTTCGTTTTCAAACATAGACAATGTGTGGGATGCCATATGTGTAAAAAAGTAAATAACTTCTGCTGACGTAATCACCATCTAGACCCCCTGCCTCCATGTCATAAAAAATAAGCAAAGCAGAGACTCCCGTCCCCTATGAATAGAAAAATGAGTAACAAAACACTTTATATGCTTTTCAACTCATTTGGAAAGTATTCATTTCATTACAGTAATTGAATATTATATTTTACTTTTTACTCTTAATACTTAAGTTCAATAGTTTCATTTATAAACTTTATTTTTAATGTTGAATTTGTGATACTAATTGATTTTTTTTTATAATCACTTGAAAATTGTTTTCTTTGAGTTGCTATAACTTGTGGTCGTATGCAGGAGCTGAAGGGGACAGCAGTCCTCTCCCCTAGGTATAGATAAAAACTGAAAAGGCTGTTTTTATTTCATATGACGCACATGAATTATTCGTTTAATAATAATAGAGAGATAATAATAGAGATTTTTAATAACACATCCTGCACTGCAATGAATATTGTTTTTATTTACCGTAGTTTGCGCTGGTCAAACCGTATCCCTCGAAGCACCGATACATTCGACAGAGCGCGCCACCGTGGGGTGAGTGATCATTGATTTCGAGAATCATGTGCCCTGAGCACGCGTAGTGAGCCAAGCATCACAGCCTTCTGCCGCCAGCATTATCAACCAATGACCACTCTCCACACCGCGGGGTAAGTGATCATTGTGTGCGAGAATCATGTGCCCTGGGCAAGCGCAGTGAGCCAAGATTGACAGTCTTCTGCATTTGTCCGGCTAAGATTTCTGCCTTAGTGCGGCAGTCCGTTATGATTTTAAGATTCGAGAATAGACAGGGCATCATTCGACCAAGGACTCCAATAATCAGAACAACCATCTTGTGGTTGTTCTGATGTGGTCTGGATAGAGTCTGCGGAGTTCGAAGAGAAAATCTCTATATTTCATCTGTTTGTCCTCCTCTTTTCGGACGATATTAGTCTCGCCAAGAGCTGAAAACTCCACGACAAATATCGTCTTGCTCTGGTGTTCGAGAAGGACTACATCAGGCTTATTAGCTTGTATGAGCCTGAGGGTGGGGAACGAATAGTTTTTATTATTATTATTATTATTATTATTATTAATATTATTATTATCATTATTGTCATCCGCTAAAGGTTAAGCTGATCAGGCCCTATGCCCGAAGCCTGGACACATATAGCAAAACCGAGGTTACAGTTATTTTCCAACGCCCTGTATGTTGATTTCATTCATTAGATCGCAATTTCGTCAGGAACGAATGCAATAATTATTATTTCCAGTCGTTGTATTAGACGAATCTCTTGAGGTTACTGCTTTCACGTCCCCCAAATCGAACTGTTTTTGAAATTGCAAAAATTGTTTGTTATTTTTATGTTCATCTATGAATTACTGATTTGTGAAAAATGTGCCTGCAATTATTTCAGATGGATAGTAACATTTTTTTTACAAATTAGTTTTTAAATTGAAAGGTGTATACTTTTAAGCGAGAATAATTTTTGGGAAAGAAAGGTTTTGGCTTTCTACTTCTCCATTTCTATACAAAAGAATGTGGAAATCTTCCAAAGAAAAAAATAAATCAAAATAATTTCAAAATAAACTCTATACAACGATGTGGAGTCCATGCAAAAAAGTAACTTCCAGACATGAATTGAAAAAAATCCCATTCGAAACAACTACTTCCATAAAAACATTGTATTACATGAAAGAAAAAAATATTTTCGAAACAACTACTGTATTAACATTGAATTATACATTTCCTCGATTTCAAATTGAAGAGTCGATCCGTAAAGAAATTGAAAAACTATGAAAACATTTTCTTTCAACAGAACTGCTCAGCCTATAACAAACTTTGTATTTAATTCTGATAGGGTTTTACCTGATGTCAGTTCGGAAAATAATGATGAAATTCATCAAAATCGGAACAGAAATAATGTTTTGTTTTGTAAATGCAGATTGATTGTGATTATAGTTTTTCACTAGGTTATTAGGTGTTTAGAAAAAGGGAAACTGGTCTAAAACGTCTGAAGACATGTAAATCACTAGCCAACTTCAATAATGATGGTTCCCTCCACTCAATTGATTTTTTGAATTATAAAGAATTTTTTATATGTACAGATAACATGAGTTTCAATCAACTTATTCTAATTTTGAGTAACTTATTTGATAAATCAGCAAAACTTTGATTCAACACATATGCTCACACTTTTACCAACTACTTTGAATTCAAAAATAAATTCATTGGTCAATTTTGATATGCTACTAAGCAGCTACAAATCAAACTAAGGTTAGAATCAGTGCGTTATAGAGAAAATGACGAGTTTTCATGGATCATTTTAATAAACATATGGTGATGGCCAAACTATACCCCCAATTATCCACAGATCAGTTTATATAAGCAAGTCATTTTTTACCACATATTTCTCCAGTTCTCAAGGGAACCAACTTACTTCTAAAAGCTGCATAAAGATTGAAGCAGATTGATTATTCTCTTAATTATGAAAAACATTCTTCGCCAAATTTTCACCGATGTACAACCCAAAATAATCAATGCTACAATTCATTTGGAATAAAATGTAAAATATATCTAGTTACTGATAAATAGAACATTTTTCATTGTGAAAAATACTTTGATTTTACATAAGTAGTAATTTATTGGGGTGAATTAAAAACTTTGCCCTTTCTGCACCTGTATGAAGTTCCCCATTATAATTTTAATATTTTTCATCGCAAAATCGCTAAAACTGATGTTCCTTCACAAAAAATTACTTTCGTTCAACAAAATGAACATATTTATCGTAAAACGATAGATACGGCCAAATTGAAACATATTTCTAGTATGAACTATAGGTCGCCGATGATTATTTCAAAATTTTATAGTTTTCAGTTCCATACCTCAATAGATACAGGGAGTAATTTAACAACGGTGTGAAAAATAGTCAAGAAACAAATCGATAATTGAAAAAAAATGCATTCCTCATTTGATTTGTACGGGCACTTTCCTTATGGAAAGTGTTAGTATAAGCCGAAAATTTCTTGTCATTTCAGATTCATCTTATCCGGTGATAAATAAGAAACTAGATTTTTTAGTACATGAACATGTGGTAATCATTCCAACAAAAGAGATTCCACATATGTTTTTGAAACTTCACCTAGGATAAAAACTTTGGCCAATTAATATATTCATGGGTCAATGAAATCCTCATGTTAACCTTTAGTGAATTTTAGGAATTTTTGTTGCACTTCACAGTTTTGATAACGAAAAAAAAACGATCTGAGCATACATAGGAACAGACAGCAAGAAAAAATAATATAATATAAAATTATTCAGTTATTCATTTTCATTCATTTCAGTGCTGAATTTAATTGACGGGTAAATGAAGTTGGCAAACTCGACAAATTTGCCGAACTGCTTACCTATATCAGTAAAGCAGACAAACATAGATATAGGCTAGGAATCACACGTTAAAAGTTTCTCAACTTCTGAGAGTTGTCGTTCGTATGGGGGCGACAGCTGATTAAGGGAAAAACAGATTCATATATTAGAAACTGATCATAAACTCTTCTTTTCTTACAAAAATTCAAATGTGGCTGATGCATTTTGATGTCCCAGTTCGCATTGACCATACTTAGTCAACGCATAGGCATGTCATAACCGATGACGAAATCTCCAGATGTGAAGTGTTTGAATCTAATATCAGTATCAGTACATTTTGACTGGATTTGTGTTACACCATAATGAAAGAATATGTTTTCAAAAACCAACATTATCGGAAGACATTTTAGGGGACAGTTGTGAAAGACTTATCGAATTTCTTAATCTTTTAGTCATTTTACGAAAAAATTAGTTCCATATTCCATGTACTATAAGGTGCAGATACTCGAAGACATGTTGCTAATAACCCTCGTGATTTTGATGTGACTATGTCGAAAAAAAGAATAAGTTAATAAGATGAAATAACCTGATATACAAGTACCTTATTGCCATCCTGAGAATTTCATTCTTAGATAGTTTTTTATCTGGAGGATGGGTCGGAACTAGTTTTCTCAGTTCGGCAAATGCTCCACTGACGTTCTGTTGTCTCCACCTTTCTCTGCTGTTCGTGAAAATTTTCTTAACAACTCCTCGATTAGAAAGCTGAAAAAAAATTCTAGTTACCCTAACGATAATTAAAAACAATTGAGAATCAAATGTCATTACATTCCTACGAACTACAAATGATTTTAAAAAGTTTGTAAATTCCAAGTTCAAAGTCGGAGTCCAACAAAATTATTAGTGTGAAGTCGAAAGAAAGGAAGGAAGCGATCAGTTTCAAATAGTAACTCTATACTAATTATATTTCTACATAAATTATCACTTCTGTTGTCATAGAGGTCGTTCAACTACCGAAGAAATTTACGAAATATGTTAAGTGAAGTTACAGAATTTTCAAATTTAATCTTTCGAAATATATTGTTGAATAACAATCAGACGGTAGTACAATCAGATAGCAGTCGTCGGAGTAGACATGCGTATCTGCTCCCTGGTGCTAAATAGCGAAATTTACCGAGATATTCTGAAGCCATACTTTCAAAAGTTGGATTAGTAGAAGTGAAGGTGAATATCAGTTTCCCTTTGAAACTTGGAAATTTTTTATTCATTTTGTATCTCTGTGAGTTTATTTCAATTATCCCGACAATAACTTCTCGAAATAAAAGAGGTCACTGAGGGATCAAGTATCACACTTTTACCATAATTATTAAAATAATTTCCATGATGCCGTGCACTTTTGTTGTTGTTGTAAGGATACGCCGTTTTAAATAGCCAGTAACACATATATTTCAATAAAATAACCTGATTCCTAAATAGATGAAGATCGGGAAAGTGTCATGACTCACCGTGAAGTTGAAAAAAAAAGTCCTCAATTCAGACAAAATAAGTATATTTTTTCCACATTGATCTTAAGCATCAGCCAAAAGGAATAGTAAGTAAATAAACATGGCCGCCACCCAGTGATACTACCAAAAAAACGAAAGAAGCTCCACAGGCGCGAAAATTGAATGGGGATCAAGTATTCCCCAGGATCAAGTATCACTACTCTCCCCTACCCACTTTAGCCCAATTATTTGTGTTATGTTATCGTGTAAATAAAAATGATATTTCCTATATGGTATCTACCACTTTATTGTATCTCCAACAACGGTAAGTACTCGACTGCGTTTTTAGAGCAAGTCTACCTGAAAAACATTCGTGTACAGAAAGATCTTAATATACAGGACTGGAAACTAACAACTATGTTTTATTATTAATATATGACACCCCTTTACCTAAGTTGAAACATTACACTATACAGTAATAATTTGTAATAACTAACAACAAACATTAGGCTACCCAGGATTAATTTGCCATAATTAATCGCTCAGGTGCCCTAATTTTATCACGGGGTCTCAGAGATCTATCACTATTAGTTTCATCACCTTCCATATTACCATTTTTCGTATTCACTAACTGTTCACTACTGTGAGTCCGCGTTTTTCCCTTCCAATCTACAATATTTTCTTTTAAAGCTGATCGTGGAGTGAAAGAAACATTATTTGTTTTAGATATTGTATTTGAATATTCTTCGTCTGAATAATCTTTTTTTAATTGATTCATATGTCTTTTCCATGTCAATCCACAATCGGTTTCTACCAGGAAAGTTTTTCTGCCCAATATTTCTTTAATTTTACCATGACACCACTTTTGAACATTTTCACGATAATCTCGTGCATATACCAAATCATTTATCTCATAGTTCACATATTTTTTATGTCCATAATATTTTGTTTGATAATTTTGTTTAGATTTCACTACGGCTTCCACAGAAGGTAACAGTAAATCAAATTTAGTTCTTAAACTTCTACCAAAAAGCAATTTAGAAGGTGTTTCTCCCGTGGTCGAGTGTGGGGTGTTACGATATTGAAATAAAAATCTATTGATTATTAAATGGGTGTCTAACCTTGGATCCTTAGTTTTACTTTTAATAATAGCATTTTTGATAATTTTCACCGCACTTTCTGCTTGTCCATTTGTAGATGGGTGGTAAGGTGCCCCTGTAAGATGTTTGATACCGCTTTGCTTTAAAAAACGTTGGAATTCAAAACTTGTAAATGTTTTCGCATTATCCGTACAAATTTCTTTTGGTAATCCATATCTCGCAAATAATTCTCGAAACACCTTTATAGTATTCAAAGATGTGATATTTGACATTTCGAAGCCCTCGATCCACTTAGATATAGCGTCTTCGATGACTAAAAAATTTTTATTGAAACATGGCCCAAAAAAATCCGCATGTAACCTGGTCCACGGATTAGTTGGCCATTTCCAAACAGACAAAGGTGTTTTTGTAACATTAGGAGCTAATCTACAGCAAATTTCACAAGACTGGGCCATATTTTCAATTTGACTGTTCATCAAAGGCCACCACATATAAGCCTGAGCTAAAAGTTTTATTTTAACAATACCCATATGTGCAACGGGTAACTATTTAGTATTGAATTCCAATATTTTTTTGGTACTATTATGCGATAACCCCACATGAGGCAATTCTGTTCTATTGTTATTTCATTTTTTTAATAAAAAATGGTTTATAATCTTCCCCAGGACATTTTCTGGGCCAACCATTCCTGACAAATAACATTACTTTACTGAGGACTGGATCCACCGCTGTTTCTTTTCGAATTTTATTTACATCTATCGGCAATTCGGATTGCTCTGCGTAATTTATATAAGAAAACTCGACTACCTGTTTTGAATCAAATGGAAATTCTACCTGTGCACTAGTGATGGGTAACCTGGACAAACAATCGGCATAATTTTGATTTGAAGTAACAAATTTTATTTCATAATCAAAAGCTGAAAGAATATAGGCCCAACGTTGAAGGCGGCTAGCAGCAAACATCGGTAATCCCCGCTTGTCCCCAAAAATCGCTAGTAATGGTTTATGATCGGTGACAAGTAAAAATCGTTTACCAAACAAGTATTGATAAAATTTTTTTAGGCCAAAAATTATGGCGGCAGCTTCTTTCTCGATTTGAGAATATTTTGTCTCTGCCAAACTCAATAGACGAGAGGCAAAAGCAATTGGTTTTTCAATATTGTTTTCATCAATATGAGAGATAGTTGCTCCTAACGCATATTGTGATGCATCTACCATGAGCTTAACTTTCTTTTCAGGGTCGAAATGGCTAAGAACCGAATTTGAAATTAATAATTTCTTTGCATTTTCGAAACTTATTTTACATTCTTGTGACCAGAACCATTTCGTTTCTTTTCTTAATAATTTGTACAATGACTGCAAAACTTCTGACAGATTCGGTAAAAATTTACAATAAAAATTTATCATTCCCAAAAATGATTTGAGTTCCGTCATTGTTTTTGGTACCGCCATTTCCGTTATTGCCTGAATTCTATCTTTTGATGTATGTAACCCTTCTCTGTCTATAACATGTCCTAGGTACTTTACAGAATCTTTAAAAAATAAACATTTTTCCTTCTTAACCTTTAACCCATAAGTTTTTAAAATTCGAAAAGCCTTTTCTAGTTTTTTCAAATGTTCCTCATCATTTTTACCCGTTATTAGTATGTCATCTAAAAAACACAAGATACCAGTACCTTGAAACATTTGTTCCATTATATTCTGGAATATCGCCGGAGCACATGTAATTCCGTATGGAAGGCGAGTGTCAGCAAATAACCCTTTATGGGTGGTAATAGTTAACATCTTTTGTGAGTAGGTTTCACATTATTAAATGAATCCATACTTCCTATATCTAGCTTAAAAATATCAAAATTTTTCGGTACTTGTTCATTTTCATTATTATCATCACGAATACAAANGACAATGGGTGTGGCCCACTCTGAAAATTCTACTGGAATTAAAACTTTATTTTCAACCAATCTTTGTAACTCTGCTTCTATTTTTGGTTTAATTGCAAATGGTACCGGTCGGGGTTTACAAAATTTTGGCTTGGCATTTTCTTTCAATTTTAATGAAATATTGAATTTATTAAAAGTTCCTAATTTGTCTTCAAATATTTCTTTATATCTAAGAACCAAAAAAGAAACTTGCGTCAGAAAAACCTTCCTGACTCACATCGACTTGTTGACTAAAATTAATTTTGCAATTTCCCACTTTAAATAGTTTCATTTCGTTTCTTTCTTTTTAGCGGGGGACCTCCATTTTGAATAACGTACAACTTCAAGGAGTACGTTTTATTCTCTAAAATGGCATTTAATATTAAATAACCCTTTGGTTGAAAACTTATACCTACATAATCTCGAAGAGATAAATCGTTTTCATATAAAATGTAATTCATAAAATGTTTTTTGAATAACTTTTCTGAAATCGCTGAGTGTGCGAATCCTGAATCAATTTCGAAATTTATATGTATATTCTCTACAATCAATTTAATATAAGTAGGTTTCACATCATCAAATGAATCCATACTTCCTATATCTAGCTTAATAATATCAAAATTTTTCGGTACTTGTTCATTTTCACTATTATAATCTCGAATACATAAATCGTTTTCATATAAAATGTAATTCATAAAATGTTTTTGAATAAATAGGTATATTCTCTACAATCAATTTAATATAAGTAGGTTTCACATCATCAAATGAATCCATACTTCCTATATCTAGTTTAATAATATCAAAATTTTTCGGTACTTGTTCATTTTCACTATTATCATCGCGAATACAAAAAATTGAATTATCGGTTAGTGCATCACTAGAAACATCATCAGTTATGTAATGGTGCCCCCGACGTCCACACTGAGAGGTTAAGTGCCCTTTAATACCACATTTGTGGCATATGCACTCCTTAAATGAACATTCCTTAGGTAAATGATTGAAGCGCCCACATACTGTGCACTTACTTGATTGGTTAGGGTGGCTTACCCCTTGACGATAGTTCTTGTTCTGAAAAACTCCAAAATCAAACCCAGAACGGTGTTTCGTCAGGCACGAGTGAGCTCTAAGCTGAAAAAGTGGCGCATCTTTCATCAAATTACCACCCAAGTCAAGGTGAGGCCGTGCCGAGGACTGAGTGGCATCAGGGTGTAAAATGATACCACTTCAGGGCACCGGAGCGCACCCTGTTGTATTTTAGCTCT